ATAAGTAATTCGTGTGACATAATTTGACATAACGGCCGAAGTACTTGCAAAATTAAATTAAAGCACAGAAAATAAGAAGGATTATACAATTGTTATTTATATATTTTATGAAAAATCAATCAAATCCTTAGAAATTGTTTAATTGTTCACGAAACGATTTGTTCATTTTCATAAATATGAATAATTCTTATTAATTAATTTTTAACACTATTTTAAACAATTCTTTTAATTACCTGTGATATTTTAATTATCTGAATCCAATCATACTGTTTTATTCGACAGCATCAAGCTAGAAGAATTACGTGACAAAATGATCGAATCCGGATTATAGAGCTGTGCGTTCCATTTAGTACGAAATATTTATTCAGCGTTAATTATCTGAAAGAAAACGACAAAAGAAGGAAGAGTAACAGCCTCTATTAACGAAATATTTAATATTAAAATATATCAATACATCTGCTGATGCAAATTTCAAGAAAAATTCTTTCTATATTGCCGTTCAACAATTACCGTGGTATAATTGAGATTAAATGCAATGATCAGCAAATTGCAAAGTTGCAATGAACCTTTCGTTTAATATCGATGAATGTTGTACGATGTATCAGTGCATACGAATTTCTTTAGTCGATAAATAAACTTCAGGTTTGCGAAGCAGTCTCGAGATGTCGTTTACATCGTGCATATCCAATCTATCATTTTATCGCGTATTCAATAAATAAACTCTGACAATTTAAAAAAAATTCTTTTAAGGAAATTCGCATTTCTATCGAAACAGTTTAGAATCTTTTCTCGTTTCACGTATTAATATGTTACGTATTAAAACATATTAACGTATTAAAAATTCAGAGATTGCAGCAGGTGTGATCTGCCGAAAATTACATAGACAAAATTCAGTAATACGATCGATCAGTAATTTTTTTACCGTTTGTTTTTATTTTTCAGCAATATCTTTGTACATATGTACTAGTTTGGGAATTACAGCTGGTGCTCACAGATTATGGGCACATAGATCATACAAAGCGAAATGGCCACTCCAGATATTGCTAGTGGTATTCAATACCATAGCGCACCAAGTTAGTGGTCAATTAAATAATTAGTAAACGACAAATTGTATGATTTTGCTGCGTAATAAAACTGGAGAAAATTATCCAAACATGAATCGCCTTGCTTGTGACGGATAAAATTATGAAATTTGAAATAGATGACTACATTTCTGACAAAAACAATTATGGTAGATATGAATGGTAGACATGGCAGACACGAATGATTTTAGTTGCAACTGCAGAATAGGAAGTCACATTTTTCTTTTATTTTTAATTTTGGTCATGTCTTTATTTTCTCCGTTTCTTTTTCAACTGAAATCAGCGTTGTTCAAATCTTGGTCCATTTATAAGCGATCTCGTTCTCCTTCTGTATATTTTTTCCTTCTTCTTTTTTAAATACATCTTTTTTACTTATCGTTGATAGAATGCGACTATCGATTGGGCCAGAGATCACAGACTTCACCATAAATACAGTGAGACGGACGCAGATCCGCATAATGCAAAGAATGGATTCTTCTTCGCGCACGTGGGCTGGTTGTTGTGCAAGAAACACCCAGACATCGCTAAAAAAGGCAAAGAAATCGATCTCAGTGACCTGAGAAACAATCCTATATTAATGTTCCAGAAAAAGTAAGTGTTCTTCATCGATTCCTTTTCGTGGTTCGATAACGCGGAAAGAAAAAGTTCTTTACTAAATAACCAGATTTTTCTAAATCAATTGAAAATCAATAGATTTTTTTTTCTAATTAAAGAAAAATGATATTGGATTGAAATATATACATTTTATAATATAAAAGAAAGTAAATAAATACAGAAGATAAAACTACGTTTATTTAAATTGAATTTTAATTTGAATTATGTTAGTTTTTGCTTGTCTCTCGGCTAGTTCATATAAATGGAAGTCTGTTGTAAATAGAAAAGATTAGAATATAACAAATGAGTTTTCATTATGTCTCATAATGTGTTTGCAGATATTACATGTACTTGATGCCTCTATTTTGTTTTATTTTACCGACTGTCATTCCTGTCTACTGTTGGAACGAGACTTGGT